TGTAGCCATTTGGCTTTAATACGACATTGGGCTTGAAGCAGTTCATGAAACATCCTCTCTCGTTTCTGTTAAAGACGGGCCGATCTGGAATTCAGTCTTGTAAACGCTTCAAGTTAGCACAAGGTCAAAAAGACTATCCAGTTCTATCCTACTCGCTAGGTATGCGCTTAACTAAAAGCGAAAACATATAGACGTAGATGGATGTAAAATGATATGATTAGTTCTTTTTCCTATTAATCATAGTACGTATAATTGGGCGTTTGTTCATTTGTGTGTGTGTGTGTGTGTTTATTTATTTGCGTGTGAGAGTGTTGTCTTAAGATCTGTATGCGTTCTAGTCAGAATCCTCAATAAAGGCCATAAAAAGAAGTCATCAAGGCTTAATAACCTGGGTAAAAGCCTAACCGAAATTGGGTAGGCCTCAAAGTTACTCTTGATAAGACGATGAGATGTAAGCTTGTAAGCGTTTAAGTCAGGTTACGAAACCACTGCTACTACGCGGCAGTCACGACCGAAAAACAACGGTAATCAACCGTCGTCTTCCGGTGATATCGACCTATGAGTCTGTTTATCATACACTTTCTTTACAATAATGTCATCTCAAGAGACTCATCGAAAGCCAACTATTCTTCGTGTCTATTGGAATTACTGTGCGTCATGACCGGTACTTCGTATGGTGACTGGTACAAATGCTAATACATTCACACTCAATTGTAAGCATTTAGATTAATAATTAAGAAAAGATCAAACCATTCCATATTTATCTATTTTCATATCTAGATGTAGTATACATAGCATGCAAGTTAAAGCCGGCTAGTCTTCTTGACTTGGTGTAAATTGAGGCTTTTGCAAAAATGATTTTTGGCTCTGCGGATGTCTGTTATTTGATCCTAAACAGAATCGCGGGAAACAGCCGCCGTCTTCCGTTGATACAATATTATTAATCTTTTTATTCGGCACTCTTCTACAAGTTTTTAAGACATTAATTTTTATCCCAATCTTCAGTGTAAACAGCACAATGTTGTGTTCTCCGCCCTGACATTTGAGCATTTTTAATGTGTGAAACTTTTGTGAAATGGAACGAATTAATAAGTAAATAATGCTGAAGGCGGTCCAAAATGTCAACATTTACGTACACCATTTTACCCGGCCGTCTTCCGTTAATACAATATTATTAATCTTTTTATTCGGCACTTTCCTACAAGTTTTTGAAACACTAATT